AATATAAGAATATTGACCATCTAGAAACAATATATTATTTTTTTAATGAAGTTGCAAATTTAAATTCCTTATGCTTTCTTGGTTTTTACTAATTTCACTCGTCTACATTTCAACGTTCAACATTAAACGGAATTTTCGTCGGTTCGATGACCGTTTTAGTAATAGGTAATAAAGTAAATAAACATATTTTTAGATTCCCTTTTGCTGTCAACATCAATGTGTCTAGATTTTATGTGTCATCACAGCCATCAATCAAACTACACCATTACATTTTACTGATTGCATACCGGGAAACTTTTGAACCGGGCAACTTTTACCCTATGATAAATAGATATGTTTCTGGTCAGTAAGGATCCTTCTTACCATACTTTACAATTTAATAATCATTCCCTTTAATAAAGCCCGCAGCTTCTGTATTAGCGTCCCTTTTACTGGAGGGAGGGGGAGGTTGGAAGATAAAGGGGAGATTGGAGATAAGGAGGGTGTTTAGGTAAGATGAGAGCTGGTGGGAGAGTGCTTTTCCATAGTGCCAAAACCCCTCACTGTTCTCGTCGATGAAGCAGGAGACGCTTACTCCTCTAGTACACAAAGTCTTGTTCTTCCTATAGACGTTCCTGGTGATAAAATTATTTTTTTCTATTATTCATACTTTGTAATAGCTTTTTACGTTTTAGATATGCTTATTTCGACATACGGTTACAGTTCTAGTTCTTTCTTGACTGATTTTTTCCCGTTTGTTTCATAAGAGGCTGAATACAAAAGAAGAGCCTATAAGACAGGTCACTAAAACCTTGCTAATTCCTTCAATTCTGCCTTTGGATGAATTGATATTTTGTCGTTGAACAACAGGGGTTATATATACCATCGTATTGGCCCACATGGTTAGAGCTGGAGACACGACATGTTCTGTCTGGACAACCCAACCTCCCTCGATCAACAGGAACATCTCTCCATCAGGCTGACTGATAGTGGTAATGGTTAGCAATTTCCCTTTTTGAAATTACCACACCTGGATAGTAGTAGTAACCAAAGGACATTTTTTTAAAATCATGATTTCCTTGAATGATGACAAACAACTGGCGGAGTGACTAGAAATACAGGTTGAAGAAAAGTTTAACAGTCACTACCATGACCTGTGTAGAATCGTTTGTTGACTAGCCTAGTAGTTTCTTGTTCTTATTTAAAAACAAGACATCAATCACCTGCGTTGACCAAGATTAACATGATGGCTGTAGCCGATGAAGAATTCTTAGTCTTCCATGTTTTCAATTTTCTTTTGTTTAATTTTACCCCTGCTTTATCGAAATATGATTATGTTGATCTTTGTTCCACTTGGTTGATCTTTGTTCCACTTGCTTGATCCTTTTCAATTATAGGTCTATATGTGCGGGCGCAGCATATTTTGCCTGTGATTTTAATTGAATTATCCCACACATGAGTTTTTTATTTTGCCTGTGATTTTAATTGAATTAGCCCTCGCGTGAGCTCTGTATTTTGCCTGTGATTTTAAATGAATTATCCCACACATGAGTTATGTATTTTGCCTGTGATTTTAATTGAATTATCCCACACATGAGTTATGTATTTTGCCTGTGATTTTAATTGAATTAGCCCTCGCGTGAGTTCTGTATTATGCCTGTGATTTTAATTGAATTGTTACTCACGTGAGTTGTGTGTTTTGCCTGTGATTTTAAATTAATTATCCCACACATGAGTTATGTATTTTGCCTGTGATTTTAATTGAATTATCCCACACATGAGTTATGTATTTTGCCTGTGATTTTAATTGAATTAGCCCTCGCGTGAGTTCTGTATTTTGCCTGTGATTTTAATTGAATTGTTACTCACGTGAGTTGTGTGTTTTGCCTGTGATTTTAATTGAATTATCCCACACATGAGTTATGTATGTGATTTTAATTGAATTATCCCACACATGAGTTATGTATTTTGCCTGTGATTTTAATTGAATTATCCCACACATGAGTTATGTATTTTGCCTGTGATTTTAATTGAATTATCCCACACATGAGTTATGTATTTTGCCTGTGATTTTAATTGAATTAGCCCTCACGTGAGTTCTGTATTATGCCTGTGATTTTAATTGAATTATCCACACACTGTGAGTTGTGTGTTTTGCCTGTGATTTTTTTCCCACACATGAGTTATGTATTTATGCCTGTGATTTTAATTGAATTCTCCCACACATGAGTTATGTATTTTGCCTGTGATTTTAATTGAATTATCCCACACATGAGTTATGTATTTTGCCTGTGATTTTAATTGAATTAGCCCTCGCGTGAGTTCTGTATTTTGCCTGTGATTTTAATTGAATTGTTACTCACACTGTGATTTTAATTGAATTATCCCACACATAAGTTGTGTGTTTTGCCTGTGATTTTAAATGAATTATCCCACACATGAGTTATGTATTTTGCCTGTGATTTTAATTGAATTAGCCCTCGCGTGTGTTCTGTATTATGCCTGTGATTTTAATTGAATTATCCCACACATGAGTTCTGTATTATGCCTGTGATTTTAATTGAATTGTTACTCACGTGAGTTGTGTGTTTTGCCTGTGATTTTAAATGAATTATCCCACACATGAGTTATGTATTTTGCCTGTGATTTTAATTGAATTATCCCACACATGAGTTATGTATTTTGCCTGTGATTTTAATTGAATTAGCCCTCGCGTGAGTTCTGTATTTTGCCTGTGATTTTAATTGAATTGTTACTCACGTGAGTTGTGTGTTTTGCCTGTGATTTTAAATGAATTATCCCACACATGAGTTATGTATTTTGCCTGTGATTTTAATTGAATTAGCCCTCGCGTGAGTTCTGTATTATGCCTGTGATTTTAATTGAATTATCCCACACATGAGTTATGTATTTTGCCTGTGATTTTAATTGAATTAGCTCTCGCGTGAGTTCTGTATTATGCCTGTGATTTTAATTGAATTATCCCACACATGAGTTATGTATTTTGCCTGTGATTTTAATTGAATTGTTACTCACGTGAGTTGTGTGTTTTGCCTGTGATTTTAATTGAATTATCCCACACCTGAGTTATGTATTTTGCCTGTGATTTTAATTGAATTAGCCCTCGCGTGAGTTCTGTATTATGCCTGTGATTTTAATTGAATTGTTCCTCAGTTGTATGTGTTTTCGCATTGATAACTGCTTATTTGTGTTACACGCGTGTTGCTATGAAGTTTATAACTGTTATCAGGAAAACATATGTACAACCTGAAAACAGGAATATCGACAAGTGAACAATCTAATGTCAACAAATATTTTTCGATTATTTTAGCACTTTTTATGGATGGTAATCAAGAAACTCCTCCCTCACCTCTTTATCATCAACAAAACGCTCTTGTTTATAATGTTTTGTGTTTAGCTTTGTATATAGTATAAGTATGGATGTTTACATCTTTTCACGTCATAAATTTAGTTCTACCTTAAGTTAATCACTTACAGTTAATTATTTATATAAATTATAAAGACAATCGCTTTAGCCCTGGTTGAGGTTGCTTCCGCCTTTATTCTTACCTACGGCAAACACGTGTTCAATATCACGGTTGGTGAACATAATCTAGAACCAACAAAATATCAACGTACTACATGATTAATTGGCATTACAAGCAAAATATCAGACTAATTAATATTGCAACACCATCACTCGATAAACACATCATTTGGAAAATAAAAGTCAAAGATCAGATGTTCCTGATAGAAGCGACCTATAAAAGGACCTCGGCCTTGGTCTTCATTGCACATTGAGCCAACCTTTCATCTATTCCCGAGGTCAGTCACATCTTCATAAAAATGTAAGTAGCCACGTAGCTTCATACAGATGTATTATGTATTCGTATTATTAAATAGTATATTTCGTTTTTATAGATCATGTGGTCGTATTATTTGATCGTATCTTTGTTTTTTATAGATCATGTGGTCGTATTATTTGATCGTATCTTTGTTTTTTATAGATCATGTGGTCGTATTATTTGATCGTATCTTTGTTTTTTATAGATCATGTGGTCGTATTATTTGATCTTATTCTCCGTTTTTATAGATCATGTAATTTTATTATTTTATCTGATCTCCGTTTTTATAGATCATATAATCGACATCTCGGCATATAAATACGAATCGTCCTTTGTACTTCTGTATAAATACGAATAGTCCTCTGTACTTCTGTATAAATACGAATCGTCCTCTGTACTTCTGTAGAATGACATTCTCGGCGTCACCTCGCCCCCTGTAAAGATTTACATCTCGGCATACGAATCTGAATGTCCCTCTAGGTTTCTGTAGACAGACATCACGCCCTACAAAGACCGACATATCGGTTTATCAATTTGAATCACCAAATATGTTTCTATAGACAAACAGTCTCGGCGTCATCTCGCCCGTACAAAGACCGACATCTCGGTTTATCAATTTGTCACCAAATATGTTTCTGTAAAAGGACAGGGGTAGGTGTATAAAAAATAAAGTTTAGCTATCATTTGTAACCCAACGCGCACAAAAAGGATGCTTTCTCAGTAGAAATCCCCAACAAATATTTCCATAATTCAAATAGAATCATTCAATAACAGAAAGTTTATAACCTTTTATTGATCATTTATTTATATATTTATAGCATCAGCTTCAATATAATACGAGTGATATACGATAAAGTAATAAAATTATGTATGACAGGATAAAAATAAAAGAATGAGATTATATCATTTATTTAATTAACTATATATATAACTGAGGTTACACAATATTTCTACAATTTATTGTTACGAATATTTTGTAATATCGTTGTGTATTTCATTTCCCCGCTTGGGGAAGTAGAGACCAATATATGTGTCGGCAAAGGCGTTAACTGTCTGGAAGTTTGACAAATTCCTTGTTTCTATTTGCCGTTAATAAGTATTCCTATATATTGTGTCTAGGATGTGAACCACGCCAGATCATATCCTTCGAGATTTCTCTTTTTTACTTTCCAGACAATGATTACTCAGGTCACACTGCTGCTGTGCGTGGTGGCTTTAAGCCTGGCCGATTCTGTATACCCAAAAGGGGACTATGAAAAAGGCTACAACAAAGGCTGGAATGGTTTCGGCAGGGGTAACTGGGGCATGATGAACGGATATGGTCCCGGATGGGGAAACAGGATGCACGGCTACCATGGAATGGGCCCACATATGGGAATGTGGGGAAGGAATGGTATGGGAAATGGATATAGGTGGGGAAATCCGATGAATAGCTGGTATGGATGGGGAAATAACATGATGGGAAACGGTTACGGATGGGGAAATATGGGAAGCGGTTACGGATGGGGAAATAACATGATGGGAAACGGTTACGGATGGGGAAATATGGGAAGCGGTTACGGATGGGGAAATAACATGATGGGAAACGGTTACGGATGGGGAAATATGGGAAGCGGTTATGGATGGGGAAATATGGGAAACGGTTATGGATGGGGAAATATGGGAAACGGTTATGGATGGGGAAATAAAATGGGATATGGAAGAATGCCATATGGAATGAACAACATGGGAATGATGGGAAACTGGTATGGGCCTAGCATGAGAAATGGTTACGGATGGAGTACTAGAAATATGGGAATGGGAAATGGCATGGGATATGGATGGGGAAATATGATGAACAACATGGGCGGATACGGATGGGGTAGAAGAAATGGAATGTGGGGTTCAAATGGATACGGAAATGGATACAATAACGGATACGGATGGGGCAGAAGTGGCTTCAAATCATTCACAAGCAGCAAGGTATTTATAATTCTCTTATTTATATAACTTGGCTCTGAAGCATTGTCTGGTCTTAATGTAATTGCGGTCTGCATTTATTTCAATGCCTCTGCTAGGATTCGAACTCGAGACCTCTGACTTACTAGTCTGATGCTCAACAGATCGAGCTAAAGAGAAGTTCTATCTAGCCGAGCGGGAAATTGCGGCTAGTACCAGGGTTACATTAACTACATAATAGGGATCGTTGTTTGTATTACACAGGAGTACTCAACTTTATCTTTCTTTCCTCTCCTTTCTTTGAATGCCTAAAGATGCTATATGACGCATGCATAACCAAATTTCAAGGTGATGATGTCGTGTTGTGAGATTCAGAATCAGTGCAAACGTATATTTTTGTTTGCTTTTACAAACATGTTCTCCATCAGATTATCAATAAAAAGAATCTCGGAATTTTGTATAGAAACACGATGAGTTTTACCATTTTCATCTTATTTGCCTGTTGCAGAAGGGATCTTATTAGAAGTATCTACAGTCACTCCGTTGCGAACAATCACTCATTATGTTTGAGTCAGCACTGATATCAATACCTGGAGTTGTCCATAAAGAACCCGAAGATTTCCTAGTGCATCGTTGCTGAGTTGGAACTGATATCAATACCTGGAACTGTTCTCCAGAAATGGCTCTGACACGCCCATCTCATTGTAATTTTTTCGTTTTGTAATTAAATCCATGAGCAGATTTATGAATGGTGTTCCTATCATTTTTTAAGAGTATAAGTTGACTTTGCCCACTATGACGATGATACATCCTACTAAGGTCGGCTGTTACGCTGTATATCGGTGTGGAATAAACGGACTTTTTCAACGAAGAATCACCAAATTTCCTAAGTTATGTCATCGTCCCTGTTCAAGTCGAGTTCGAATTTTCCCAAACTTCTGTCTTTTAACCTAATGTAGATTCCTACAAGGACGATACTAAAATAATCTCTCACGATTCTACATCTATTGTAATTACTTAATTAATCCAATTAATGGCTAGGATTGACCAAGGTTTACTTGGCGTCGTCGATGAAGCAGAAGACGCTTTGTACTTTTTCAGGAGTCTCCTTGTAAATCTTTCCTTTTTATTCCTATTTTCTCTAGCTTTATTGAATTCGCGTAGTGATTATGATTATGTTGACATGTTGGTATTTTCTTGATGCAGAGTTTTTGTTACACAGAGTAACAAACAACATTATTTGCAGTACATAATCTATTTCCATTTTTACTGAATAATTCCCGGATATGATACTCTGTCATGTCTTGTACTAATGAAGTAAATAGAACAATTCAATACAGGAAAAGCTAAATATTGAATAAAACTTCATCATACAGTTGTGTCGTCCTTCTAGGACTCGTCCGTGATGCTACATCATACAGATGTGTCGTCCTTCTAGGACTCGACAGTGATGCTACATCATACAGCTGTGCTGTCCTTCTAGGGCTCGACAGTGATGCTACATCATACAGCTGTGTCGTCCTTCTAGAACTCGTCAGTGATGCTACATCATACAGATGTGTCGTCCTTCTAGGACTCGACAGTGATGCTACATCATACAGCTGTGCTGTCCTTCTAGGGCTCGACAGTGATGCTACATCATACAGCTGTGTCGTCCTTCTAGGACTCGTCAGTGACGCTACATCATAAGGCTGTGTCGTCCTTCTAGGACTCGACAGTGACGCTACATCATACAGCTGTGCTGTCCTTCTAGGACTCGACAGTGACGCTACATCATACAGTTGTGTCGTTCTTCTAGGGCTCGACAGTGATGCTACATCATACAGCTGTGTCGTCCTTCTAGGACTCGTCAGTGACGCTACATCATACAGTTGTTTCGTTCTTCTAGGGCTCAACAGTGATGCTACATCATACAGTTGTGTCGTCCTTCTAGGACTCGACAGTGACGCTACATCATACAGTTGTGTCGTTCTTCTAGGGCTCGACAGTGATGCTACATCATACAGCTGTGTCGTCCTTCTAGGACTCGTCAGTGACGCTACATCATACAGTTGTTTCGTTCTTCTAGGGCTCAACAGTGATGCTACATCATACAGTTGTGTCGTCCTTCTAGGGCTCGACAGTGATGCTACATCATACAGATGTGTCGTCCTTCTAGGACTCGTCATTGATGCTACATCATACAGCTGTGTCGTCCTTCTAGGACTCGTCAGTGATGCTACATCATACAGCTGTGTCGTCCTTCTAGGACTCGTCAGTGATGCTACATCATACAGCTGTGTCGTCCTTCTAGGACTCGTCAGTGATGCTACATCATACAGCTGTGTCGTCCTTCTAGGACTCGTCAGTGACACTACATCATATAGCCATGTCGTCCTTCTAGGACTCGACAGTGATGCTACATCATACAGCTGTGCTGTCCTTCTAGGGCCCGACAGTGATGCTACATCATACAGTTGTGTCGTCCTTCTAGGACTCGTCAGTGATGCTACATCATACAGATGTGTCGTCCTTCTAGGACTCGACAGTGATGCTATATCATACAGCTGTGTCGTCCTTCTAGGACTCGTCATTGATGCTACATCATACAGCTGTGTCGTCCTTCTAGGACTCGTCAGTGATGCTACATCATACAGCTGTGTCGTCCTTCTAGGACTCGACAGTGACGCTACATCATACAGCTGTGCTGTCCTTCTAGGGCTCGACAGTGATGCTACATCATACAGCTGTGCTGTCCTTCTAGGCCCCGACAGTGATGCTACATCATCCAGCAGTTTAGTCCTTGTAGGACTCGTCAGTGATGCTACATCATACAGCTGTGTCGTCCTTCTAAGACTCTTCAGTGATGCTACATCATACAGATGTGTCGTCCTTCTAGGACTCGACAGTGATGCTATATCATACAGCTGTGTCGTCCTTCTAGGACTCGTCATTGATGCTACGTCATACAGCTGTGCTGTCCTTCTAGGGCTCGACAGTGATGCTACATCATACAGCTGTGTCGTCCTTCTAGGACTCGTCAGTGACGCTACATCATACAGCTGTGTCGTCCTTCTAGGACTCGACAGTGACGCTACATCATACAGCTGTGCTGTCCTTCTAGGGCTCGACAGTGATGCTACATCATACAGCTGTGCTGTCCTTCTAGGGCTCGACAGTGATGCTACATCATACAGCTGTGTCGTCCTTCTAGAACTCGTCAGTGATGCTACATCATACAGCTGTGCTGTCCTTCTAGGGCTCGACAGTGATGCTGCATTATACAGCTGTTTTGTCCTAAGTCTCGTCAGTGATATCACATCAAACAGCTGCTTTTTTTTCTTCTAGTAGTCGTTAGTACTGCAACAGTTTGAACCCTTGGAGGCTAAATTGTCAAATTTTCGAGGCAACCTGTGCCTTTATCAAGACACAAATTTTTTTATAAGTTCCATAACTTTAGGTTGTTTTTAGTCCGTTTTAAAGGGCCTTCAGCGTCTACCGGCCGAAGAGATTATCATGACACCTAAATATTTGTGTTTTGATAAAGGGACAGGTTGCCTCGAAAATTTGACAATTCACTTGTCCTTACTGTCGCTGATATTTCATTGATTATGTATCTATTCCGATGATACGCATCCAACGAATATTTTTCATAAGTACATGTGTATGAATCAAAATTACTTCAGGCAATATCAGGTCATGTTTGTTGTTATCGTCACTAAAATTGATAGATCTCTAAGTCACCAGTTTGAAACAAACTGTAAACAATGACAGGTTAATAGTAACATAAAAAAGTAGAAAATAAATAAAAGTGAATGAAGAAATGGAATATAAATAAACAGAACAGATAATTTCTATAAATACATTGATTTAAAATTTCTTTCGCATTGAATACATCAAACAGTTTGTTCTTTTTTAAAATACTAGAGTCAAATTGGGATCAAAGAGTGTGTTTGTCCTTCCTATATAATATCTGATACTAAGTGTCAACTTTTCCACATTAAGCATGCAGATTTTCATGGACTGCAAGATAAGACTAGGGTTACGATATGTAGTCACCGCCATGAGATTCCAAACTTGACATCGATTGACGACAATAAAACCTACCACTAGTCTTGTTCGTTCCTCAAAATCCAAACTCAAATTCAATAAAACCATGGCAACATATGAACAAAAGAAAGATTTACACAGTCTCATGGAAAAGTGAAAAGGAGAGTTGACCAAGGTGTTCCGGTTATCTGCTTCAAACGACGCTCGACATGTATTTCTTGGTTAAGTAAGGAATGCCATGTTCTCACATGAGAACAGTGTATACAACAACGGAGCCAACAGGCACACTAACGAACATCAAACACGAACGGCTTCATATCCCACAAATAAATAGAATATTTCTCAATGAGATTACTATGACGCCCGGCTCCATATCCCACAAATAAATAGAATATTTCTCAATGAGATCACTATGACGACCATGATTTTCATCAACTTGCAGCAAATTGTTGCTTCGAGTTATGCTCTGTAAACGTCGACAGAAACTAAAATAAAAAAGATACAAAAATGTAATTCTTAACATCAGGAAATGTACACTGGATCTAAGTTCCACAACTTCGGACTAAATGGTCATTTTTTGACGTAAATTCATTGCAGGTGGTACATCGATATTGCAATTTGTTGTTATAAGTCCCTTCTGTAGGCCTTTAATACATATGGTGAGTTAAAGGCAGATAATAAACTTATCCTGATTTCCTGGAGTTTAGTCACTATTCTCTTACATAGTTTACAATATGTAATAACACTTGTGGAATCTCCACCTGGAGGAGATAAAAGAATGTCTGTCGGTCTGATAGAGTTTAACTGACAAGTTTGTGGTCTAATGGTTGAATTTCAGTTGGGTATTTCCCACACCAGAATTGTTTGTATTTTGCTGGACAGAAATAGGTGTTGAGTGTGGTACACTTGAGCCCGTGTACACCTGACATTTAATTGCCAAGTCTGAAAACTGGAAATTTAAGCTTTTCCATGTCAGACAATGTGAAAACAAATGTAAATGGCATGTAAAACCATGAAATATTTTAACATACTCAGATTAAATTCAAAATATTTTATGTACTACATGTATAACCTGAGATGTATATATAGGTCTCTGCTTTATCTTTGTAAATTACTTTGTAAAACTTGTATTTTGTATTCCATTTCTTGTAAATCTAAAATGTTAATCTTCGTAAATCTTGTGATTTATTTCGTAAAACTTACTGAAGATATTTTTGACATTTTGTATACAATTTTTGAATATTTTGGTAAGAATGGATTTATGTATATTTTTTGACATTTTGGTGTGTAATTAACAAATAGTCACAAAAAATTAAAGAAAAAAAATAAAAAAAAAAATTACCTTTAAACAAATTGTAAATAGAGAAATATCACTAAACCAGCCTCTTCTTAATCACAATACCTAGTCGCAGACAATTATGAAAAACAAAGAAAAACAAGAGGCCCATGGGCCTTAACGGTCATCTGACAAAAAGCAAGCCAAACTCTAACAACAGTGAGTCTGCCGTTAAAACAGTGGGCTTTATTCATTTGAATAAACTTGGTAGCCCTCCTAGCATCCTACAGGCCTAATATCAGCACTCTGAGCCTTTTGGTTACTGAGAAGAAGTCGTTTACAGATTTTAACATATTTGAATCCTGTGATCTTGAAAGTGGGTCAAGGTCATTCACTTGAACACATTTGGTAACACTTCCTCAAAGCATCCTACAGGCCCAATATCAGCACTCTAATCATTTCGGTTATTGAGAAGTCATTTGCATATTTTAACATATTTAACCCCTGTGACCTTGAAAGTGGGTCGAGGTCATTCATTTGAACAAACTTGGTAGCATGTCATCCATGCATCCTACAGGTCCATTATCAGCACTCTTGGACTTTTGCTTATTGAGAAGAAGTTGTTTGTATATTTTAATATATTTGACCCCTGTGACCTTGAAAGTGGGTCAAGGTCATTCATTTGAACAAACTTGGTAGCCCTTCATCCCAGCATCCTACAGACCCAATATCAGCATTCTGAGCCTTTTGGTTGTTGAGAAGAATCTGTTTAAAAATTTCAACATATTTGACCCCTGTGACCTTGAAAGTGGGTCGAGGTCATTCATTTGAACAAACTTGGTTGCCTTTCCTCAAAGCATCCTACAGGCCCAATATCAGCACTCATGGACTTTTGCTTATTGAGAAGAAGTGGTTTGTATATTTTAACATATTTGACCCCTGTGATCTTGAAAGTGGTTCAAGGTCATTAATTTGAACAAACTTTGTAGGGCTCAATGCCAGCATGCTATGGGGCAAGTATTAGCCCCCTCGGCATTCTAGTATTTGAGAAGAAGTTTTTTGAATGAAAAGTTTACGGACGACGACAGACGAATCACGATGGCTATAGGTCATCTCGACCCTTCGGGTCAGATGACCTAAAAAGATTACCTTTAAAGAAATTGTAAATAAAGAGAGAAATCTCCCTAAAAGGGTCACTACTTAATCACAAATCCATTTTGACCAAATATATCAGCTCCAGCAATGGTTCGCAAGTATGACAATAGGTTTATGGCTGTGTTGATTATTCTGAATGGACCGAAAAAATTCCACCTCCAAGATCAAATGTGTATACTATTTTGGTCCTCGTGAAGTTACAAAAAAAAACAAAAAATAAAGATTTGTAGGATCGTGTCAAACAAATATATTGATAAACAGACAGCACAGAGGTGATTTAACACTACAATCAAAACTCAAAGCAATCAACAAAGAGTGATGGGCCAAGAGAAATGAATATCATTTTCAATTTTCAAATGAATAACAAATCAGACAAAATCAATATTATATTCAATAAACTTTAATATTTTATTTCATTCAAGCTAGTGTTCAACAGATTTCTAGCATTTTTATTACATTAACACAAAAAGAAATTTCAGATGTGGATTTTTGAAAAAACTTTATTTTGTGCTGCTAAGAACACTGAAAATTGTATGTATTTGTCAATTCTTCAGAAAAGATTTTGAAGTTGCCCAACATTCCACAAGCCTATAATTTGTGCTTGTCAATTTCCCAGCAGGTTGAGATCTTCCTATTTCATACCGATGAATCTAACACCAATCTGTTCACCCTTTTTGAACTTAATACACATAGATCCTCAAATAGATTATAGATAAACACCATATTATATCCTCACTATTAGAACTTCTAGCAATTAACAAAAAGCAAGGTATACAGCTTATTGTATTTGGATTGGCTTTATCTCTGTGTAAATGAAAACTTTTGTATAGTTGTACCCAAGGGTTATTGCTTTAAATGGGTTTTTTCACACTTTTTCTTTCATCTGAAATTTTTCTTAAGATTGAATCAAACATGCTTTCTGATCATTAATTGACTTTAACACAAGATAATAAGACATAGGTTGATCAGATCTAGACATCTGATCATCACAGCACTGGTACATATGTTTGGAAAAGAATGAGAAATAACGTTGTTATGTATGTTCTTGTTAAACAAAATCTGATCCCAAAATTGTTTTATAATATAATGTGTGTGGAATACTAGAATACTATGTAAACAGATCTTCAACTAACAATCTGAAACAGTGGACTGTTTCAGGCCATGAACAGACCATCTGCATGTAAATTACCCGATTTGACTGTCTATATATACAAAACCCTTGTGGACTATAAAATACTTCACAAACTTCAAGACATCTAAGATCTTTTCATGATAACAAACCAATTAATAAGTTAAAATGACAATGGTTTATGCAACTGATAAATCTCCTATGAAATGATTTGAAATGTGAGATTCTGTTTATCATGTAACCAAAATCAATCATGACCAACAACCAAACTTCAAACATTACTAGGTGAAGTCACTAACAGCACTATATAAAAAGAGTAATAAAATGTCAATTCACCATTTATGAAACATTGTTAGGACACAGTAACTGGTAGTTATGAGATAAACACTAATTATATAAGAGAAATACAATTTTTCCCTGTATTATTTGCATTTTGAATTTTTGAAACTCCGGATATTGGTTCCTTGACTACCTGATAGTAACCAGAAACTTTCCTTCTTATCACTGGTACTGTAAAGAACTATTACGACCAGAAACTTTCCTTCTTATCACTGGTACTGTATAGAAATATTACGACCAGAAACTTTCCTTCTTATCACTGGTACTGTAAAGAACTATTACAACCAGAAACTTTCCTTCTTATCATTGGTACTGTATAGAAATATTGTGACCAGAAACTTTCCTTCTTATCACTGGTACTGTATAGAACGATTACAATCAGAAACCGAAGCAATATTGTAACCTTAGTCTCCACCTCATTACCAACTTGACAAAAAAACAAAAACTCATCACCATGTAACAGCTGTTTTTAATATTTAAAACAGCATTTGATGAATGGGGCCAGCAATTGCACACATGATAGTATAACATTGACAATAAAATATCAATGATTATATAATCCTCAGGGATGGAATGGTTTTGGTGTATTTAACAGATACTGCTACTTTTTCTGTTACCATAGTAACATATAGATAAAATGTAACCACAGTAACTTATACAGGTAAATTAAGTCTTTGAACACTTATACTGCATATCTATTCTCAAATCTTTGAAATATGCAGTTTACTGGAGATGCACATGGATCATATTTAAAAAGCAAATATTGAATGGTCAACAATTCTGACTTAAAGGCAACACACAGAATGGGGAAATTCTACGGATGCATGTATTTGCATATAATATAGTGAAAACATACATTCTGTCATACGCATCCTTTCACATGTTCACACACACATACACAAACTAGCATTCACACATACTCGTAAACCGGCGCCAACTTGCATTGTTATGGCAAACGACCGTCAAGCAAACATCATGGCAACAGAGGATATATATAAATAAACAAGTTCAATGTTAACAGTTCTCAATCACAAAACTGAAGCTTAAGCTGAAAATGAAACGAGGTTTGTTTACATGATAAGCTGCCAGTGTCTGCTAATATTGTGATCACCTAGCAACCAATGGAGCATGCACTAGCTGTCCAAGCCATTGGCAGGTTCACTGGGTTCAAATATGTGAACGAGACCTTTCTCTATGTTTCACCAAACAGACACCATCAGGACAGGATTTAATCCTAAACCTGAACAAGCCACTGACAACTTTTATAGATCACAGTCATGGCTGTCATAAAGCTAAATGTCTTTTAATATTATTTTTAATCTTTCACATTTTTGAATGATTTTTGACAGTTTGACTGTAGGATCAGAAAATGATAGTGACTGTGTAGTCATTGAGGAAGAGTTCTTTTTGACTAATATTCTGGAGTGGTCAGTGTGCTTCTAGCTCTTGTTTCTGTAAATCCTCTGCAAGCTGGTCTAGCTGATTGCAACTCTTGTTCTGTCGTAACCGATGAGCTACAGCTGTTACTATAGCAGCCCCCTTTCCACTACCATCATGCGACAACATCAACTTGAACTGAAATGTGAAGGAATCATAACAATCCAATGCAACATTTTACATCATAAAAATATAAACAGGATTTAAAGCTATATTGATTGATTTAACAAAACTAAAAAAAATTCTTATACCCATGAATTGTCATTTTTACATATACAGCCAAAGAATTGGAACTTAATAATTTTCCTATCCTGGCTGAAATTACCTTGATTCCAGGTTCTACGAGCTGGTTGAGTTTTTCCACCATGAGATCATGAAAGTGTGGGTGGAATCGATACAGGGATCCATCTACTGCCACAGTAACATCAGGACGCTGCATCTTGTTTAATATACACCCAATGCCTGTAACAATCAACATGAGTCTACAGCATTAAATATCAACACAAATATATAATTTACACATTTTTAAACATGTCAATATGTTTATAGTTTACCTATTTTGTTTGTAATCTTCAGTTCTTCAGAAGTTTACCTCAAATCCATCCTTACACTTGTTTACATAAATCACCTGTATGAGAAACCTTCTGATTTCTCACTATGTCTGTAAATTACCACTACCTTTTCAAATTTTATGATTTTGATTGGAATTTTTCACCAATTTTTAATAAAATCAGTGGAGCCTGATGTGACTATAGGGTAGTTTAATGACTGGATCACTGACCTGCAGCAGCTAGGTAGGCAGCCCTGGTAGAGATGAGGGAGCACACATACTGAGTGATACGACAGTCTTCGTCCGTGTATCTCTCTATATTCAACTCCTCAAACACTTGCTTTGTATTCTTGAAGTGTTCATCAACATCACTATAAAATATAACAAAAAAGACTTTTGTTTAATCAACTCTCAAAGAAAACTCATTTAAAGTTAACTGTACTAAGCAATATATCTGATATACATGCACCAGTATGTGAATTCAAATCTGAATTTAAAATTTTTAAAACTCAACTGCCTTATTGGTGTGGGGAAAAAAAGGACAAAAAAGGAAATCAAATTTTAGGTTTTTTTTATTGTTATTATTTTTTTCCGACTTTAAGCATACCTTTTATTTGCAAATAAACATGAAATCAAACACAAGTTATGAAATAATTTATCCATTTTATTATTTGTTATAGTTATAAGTACTTGTTTTTCTCAAGGATCCAATGGGAAGAACTGGAAAATCCTTGTCTATTAGCTTGTAAAATATTAACCAATGAAATGATATAGCTCCCAGTGTGACTGACATAGAACAGCTAGTCATAAAATCTTTTTATGTGTATATACCAGGTTCTTGTTACCTCCCTTCACTCATATTCCTCTAGAAATTATTTACAGAATTTATGAAAACTACTTCAAATTTTTAACATACTGAAAGCATAAATGGTCTCTCTGCACCCAAGCGCAGTCATATTTGATGAAAAAAGAGTCAGGTAATTACATTTTTGTATGCTAATTAATTGTCAAAAATTATCTCTCACTTCAAACTTCACTCCAAATACAAAAGATTAGCAAATAAATTAACGCTTTAGTAAGAAATACTGATATAGGAAGTAGAAATATGGCCATGTGCTGCCTTCAGAAATATAGACCAGAGTACTACCGATATAATGAAGCTCACTTTTCCACATCAAACTTTGTTTATACACAAAACAATCATATATGTAAGGATACACCATGAAATAACTGCTTTTTTATACTTCCTGTTCCACTATGTTCGATACAATGCATTACCAATCCTACCACAAACCACTAAACTATCTATCCATAAAGACTGAATAAATAAAAAAAAAGAGAAAATGAAATAAAAAAATGAATAGGGCATAACATTTGATTCAGAACTGTATGTTACAGTTTCAGTAATCTTAAACACTACTTATGTATGGATCAATTTATGTTATATCAATATTGGTTAGGTATATAATCATAAATATTTCTATCCGAAAATAATTTAGTATTAACATTCTATCCATAACCTCTAGAAAATTTTCAGTTTAAAATGACTATTACTGACCATGAATCATACAACATTTAGTGATTTTAGGATCCATTGTAAATGTGACATATCTGGTAAAAGTGCTGATGTAGGAATAACGTCACAAAACCATCTCATTGAAAAATGATATCATTGAAGACTCCACTAGTAAAACAATATCTATTTTCTTGATTTAAGATTTTATGGTGTGAAACGGATGTGGAAAAAAACAGGTAGGAAAAGAAAAAATGAAAAAAATAAAGTAAAAAAAAAAAGAAAAAAAGAGAAACAAAAAACGGATTGAAGGTGAAAGGTGAATAACTGGTGCTTGAAATATACCAATTCAGATGTGGAGTTTGACCTCTCCTTGACCCCTGTCTGACACTACAATATCAGTCTAAGTCTAGAAATGTTACTATATCTGTGAAAATCTTTTCATCGTTGTAATTTTTATACCAAATTTCTTTCCTGATTATATTCATATGAATTATACATTAACTGATAACAGATGAATATTGTTTTGTAGAAATTTCTTTAATGATGAGTCAGTAATTAATAAAATTAGTTAAGAAAACAAAAATATTCACACAGATTTCATTTTAGATGAACCAATCAGTTTGAACCAGAAAAGTGAAGAGTCAATCACATCGTGACAAACTTACCCAGTCATTCTATTTCTCATGTCCCTTTATGTGAAATTAAAGCATTTAAATGTTTACAATTTTACTTGAAAAAGTTTGTTTTTTGAAACATGAATAAAATCATTCATCAAAATGGTAAAAAGAGGATATAAAATGAAAGGTCAAATTCAACATTTTGCTTATAAAAGATTCAAAAGTGTACATACATATTTTTTTTTAACTTTTTTATCTTAGTGTTTTTACAAAAACATTTATGTGTCCTTACCTTTCAATTTCTGACACATATTTTGTGTAGAATCGACCCCTTGTAGACAATTCTTCGGAACCTTTTCCTCCAAATAAATGACCACCCTTTCGGAGTTTCTCCAGTAGAAGTCTTACAATCTCTCCCATGTACATACCAGAAATCATTTTCTCATATCTGTAAATTTACAATGAAAATACATACTTCTCTATTATAGATATAGATAAGAAACAGTTAAACAACAATCACTTTCTTATCAATATTTCATTTTAAAACTACTTCTCTATTAAAGCATTGCCATTTTCCAAGACGTATCTTATGAAATGTCACTGTTTGAAAAAATCTTCTAATAAAATCCTTTACCTTTTGTGTTTGAAATAAATTACAGAATTCTGTACAAAAGAAAGGAAGAGAAAAAACACTTACGTTTGTTTACCAGCATTGATTGAGGTTTTGTCAACCTTTCTGTCATAATCAGTTTTGATAAAGTCAAGAGCCCCATCATCTCCAAATGCCCCCCATTCTGTGTTGATCATCACCTAAGTAAAGGGAGATAACTACATATATAATGGCTTGCTGATAATTCATTTAAGTACAGAAAGTTTTCACTGACCTAACATAATGTCTTGAAATTCCATCATAAATACAGGAATTATGAAGTATTGTAACATCTAAAACTTAAGTTTAGTGTTATGATGGGTATGAATACAAATAGTAAGATTTCCAACCAAGGGAGAAAACCAAAGAAAATGTAATAAGTTATTACAAAAAGTTTTTGAAATAAAATCTGGATTTTTGTCATGATAATAAATCAACTACATAACAGAAACATTCAAGTAAAGCCAGGAGATATACAAAAAATTTAAGATTGATGCACAAAGAAAGTTTTTGTTCAAGAACTTGAGAATATCAGATGTACCACTGTGTTGTAGATGTACATGGGAAATGTATCAATTTAGCATCTCTGTGTAGCTACCACTAGCTATATTAACACTGTTAAAAACTTGTACATGGGAAATGTATCAATTTAGCATCTCTGTGTAGCTTCCACTAGCTATATTAACACTGTTAAAAACTTGTACATGGGAAATGTATCAATTTAGCATCTCTGTGTAGCTTCCACTAGCTATATTAACACTGTTAAAAACTTGTACATGGGAAATGTATCAATTTAGCATCTCTGTGTAGCTTCCACTAGCTATATTAACACTGTTAAAAACTTGTACATGGGAAATGTATCAATTTAGCATCTCTGTGTAGCTTCCACTAGCTATATTAACACTGTTAAAAACTTGTACATGGGAAATGTATCAATTTTGAATTTGATGACAAAACTATTACCTCACGAGGTTCCTCATCATCACCATCCCATAATTCCACATTGTCAATACGCTCGATGTAACATGCATTAGTTCCTGTACCTGTAACAATAATTACACAACACTTTATACATCCGTGTGCCTTAATTCACATGTGTGGATACATTTATACATGATCTCAAAGCACTTAACTAATGTGTGATTGCTGTTCAGGTCATGATAGGTTAGAGCATAATAAGAATCAACGTTGAGGATAACTATAGATAACTATGAACCTTGTTGACTTACCGAGAATGAGGCCCACTGCACATTTCCTGTTACTATGGGCACATGACATAAGAGCACCAACAGTGTCATTAATGACAGCCAGACATTCAACATTTATATCCTGTAAAACAACAAGTTAACATGAATTCACAAATAACAGCACTTTATTAATTCATAACATGAAATTGTTTACTTGAATATTACATTAAGAAATTTACTTGAATTATCAAACTGAAAAATCTTTTAGGCAATAAGCAATAAATGATATTGCTCTTTTAGCTAGAAGGATATAAGCATGGATTTAGTAGCTGAATGAAAATAAAGATATTTCCAAAACTAGGATGACTGATTTAGCACTTACAAAAGGCTCCACTAGAAACACTAAAAAACTCGAAATCCCAATGTCATAAACCATAATATCACATCCTGTTAATTGTTTATTTACTTTTTATAACATCATTTACAAATGTTTCCCTAAAGTTCAAACCTTTTACTGTCAACACCTTCACACCTAAGTCTTTGATACTTCTCCCCACCCACCCCTTCTGGAACAGGCATAAAATATATCTCCTTTCCACATCCTCATCCAACAATTTTACCCATCTCCTCTGTACAGTGTCATGGAATAGACAAACAATATATCCCCTCTCCACAACATCACCATACAAGTTAGCTCTTTTCTTTGTATTGCAACATGGAACGTGCACACAATTTTCTCTTTTTCCACACCCTCACCCTACCACCTACCTTTCTCCTTTGTATAGCCTTGTGGAACAGTTATACAATATCCTCCCTCTCTGCACCCTCAACATACTACTTACCCCTCTCCTTTGTATGGCCTCGTGGAGCAGGCGAACAATATCTTCCCCCTCGACACCCTCACACTTGAAGCCCTTGGTCCAGTGGGCCAGAACAGCCTTGTTAAGACCCAGTTGTTTACAGGGAAAGGAGAATGTGAATCCAAGCGGAATATTCTTATGGAGAATGTTGTGCTCCTTCATGAATTTAAATATACATTCAGCGATGTGATCAAAGAGCTGAAACAAACAAGTCATTCAGTCTATTTAATACTGTACCGGCCCATTTCATCACATTTGATTTGAGATGGGACCCATCAATAATTGTATAAATCCCTTATCATTGAACCACCAGAATCATCTTCAGAGCTTTTGAGGTAATCCTTATAAAATACATGTGACTTGTATCATGTGTAATGACACTCATGTTATTTTGTCAGTCGTGAAAATGTTTCATCCAAGTCAAAACTTTTCTGTCTTATACAAGAAATCAAAAGTAAACCGATGGTTTTAATACTTTTGTATAACTATAGAATCTTCTCCATTCAGTTGAATTTACATGTAATGTTTAGCATGAGGAAATGACATCTCACTGAAGATAATATATACCGATACAAGATTTAAGCCAAACCACCTATAGATGTACAGTAAAAAGTAGTTATCTCCCTTACCTGAATGCCACTACCCAGCATAATCTGTTGGGGGATCAGAAAAATCTTACTTTCCATCTTCACTTCCTGTCCATCAAGGGAAATAAGCAGGACACGGAAATTAGTTCCTCCGAGATCTAGAGCAAGGAACTCTCCATTTTCTGTAAGGAATTTCAACAGAAAAATCTCTATCAGCACCTAACTATAGTGAAAGATTTAAAGGACATCTATAAATACATATAATAACATGTGAAAGAAGAGTGTTTAAGGCAATATGTCATTGATAAACAATGGATTCTTAGGTCAATCTGGCATCCCTTGGTTAAAGGATTCAGAGGAGCAGGTTGTTATCTTACCTGAGCCATCAGGTACACCACGGACATATGTTGTGAACATCTTCACGGAGGCAGTAGGATTTGTCTCTTTTCCAAGGCCTTCGTCAAACCTTTGTCGCATACGTACCATGATCTCCTTATAGTCATCATCAGAAAGGATAAAAGGACGCACAATGTTCTCGATCTGAAAATCAAGAATATTCATAAATATGGATGCCAACAAATTTTGGATATCAATGAATTAAAACACTGGTACTCTTTTTTACAAGTACATGTAAAACATTAGAGTTACCAAAGGTTATCTGAGATTGGACTGTGTTGTGTTTTTTTTTCTATCAGTACATGTAAAACAGTATCTACTGACTGTGTTGTGTTTTTTTTCTATCAGTACATGTAAAACAGTATCTACTGACTGTGTTGTGTTTTTTTTCTATCAGCACATGTAAAACAGTATCTACTGACTGTGTTGTGTTTTTTTTTCTATCAGTACATGTAAAACAGTATCTACTGACTGTGTTGTGTTTTTTTTCTATCAGTACATGTAAAACAGTATCTACTGACTGTGTTGTGTTTTTTTCTATCAGTACATGTAAAACAGTATCTACTGACTGTGTTGAGGTAGATTTTTTCTATCAGCACATGTAAAACAGTATCTACTGACTGTGTTGTGTTTTTTTTCTATCAGTACATGTAAAACAGTATCTACTGACTGTGTTGTGTTTTTTTTCTATCAGCACATGTAAAACAGTATCTACTGACTGTGTTGTGTTTTTTTTCTATCAGTACATGTAAAACAGTATTTACTGACTGTGTTGTGTTTTTTTTCTATCAGTACATGTAAAACAGTATCTACTGACTGTGTTGAGGTTTTTTTCTATCAGTACATGTAAAACAGTATCTACTGACTGCGTTGTGGTTTTTTTCTATCAGTACATGTAAAACAGTATCTACTGACTGTGTTGTGTTTTTTTTCTATCAGTACATGTAAAACAGTATCTACTGACTGTGTTGTGTTTTTTTTCTATCAGTACATGTAAAACAGTATCTACTGACTGTGTTGAGTTTTTTTTCTATCAGTACATGTAAAACAGTATCAACTGACTGTGTTGAGGTAGATTTTTTCTATCAGTACATGTAAAACAGGAGAGATATCAAAAGTTATCTGAGATTGGACTGTGTTGTAAAACACTAAAGGGACCAGGAATATACATGTATAAAGATATATACGGACCAGTGCTCCCCATGCTGAGGGTACCCTCTGCCAGTTTGCAACATACAAAAAAAAAAATACATCATGTACATGCATCCTTCAGATAGATCTAATACCAAAATAGCTTAGCTGCTTTGTAATGTTCCCTCATACAACAGGCAACATTACATAACCCAGCCACATGCTCTTTGATAATTATTGGCTATGAATGTTTATTACCAGTATTTATAATCAAAGAGTTAGATTTTTTATAGAGACAAATGTTATATTATGCACACCACAAGTGTTGGTTTATACACAATCTGTAGCCTCCCATTTGATGCCCCAGCTGAGACAGGCAGGGTTCACTACAAACATGTGGACCAGATAGCAAAACATGGCCGCAGTACACCATAACACATTAACAAATTAACCTTGTCATCACTCACAGTGTTTGGTTCCGACTTTTTTAAACTCTTCTTTCGACGCTGTTTTTTACTGCCATCCCTTTGACATTTAATACTGCCACTTCTGTGGCAATCTTTACTGCTGCCATCTTGTTCTTCGTAGTTTACACCCGTACCATTCATAACAGCGGTCAGGGTCAATCAAGGTTATATAGTACAAATCAAATGTTTCTCACAGAAATTTATCTGCTCCTTGTAACATAAACTCAGTAATCCTGAGACAAATTTCATCAGCCTCTGTTACAAATAATTTGTTAGTAATTTGTCTCCATGTGTTAGGTCATGATGAAATACTCACTGAAACCAGACATCATAATGATTTACAAATCTCTCCACTGTCTGATATAAGAATCAATATATATTCCAAACAGACCTGTATACCTAACACTGCTGAAGTTCCACTACCTTATCCAGAAGTCCACAACAACAATCCAACAAGTGTAGTTTAGTTAATCTCCAACCTACTCCAGTCTCATTGCTTTGTAATCCAGAATATCTCCTGGATAGCTACAATACACCCATCAAATTCCCATGGAAAAGTACAGATATTGATTGGTGTTGAGTACCAATGATAGACTTATCCTCAACCTTCACACACTCCTTCTGATCTGAAAGATGTCCTCTAGCAATTGACGTCTAAATGATTGTCCTCTTTCTATTGAATAAGGTCACTTCCTCTTGTTATTGATGTCCAACAAGAGTTTAGCTGTAGAATAAGGTCACTTCACCCTCTGAGGATGTGTGTGCGTGTGTGTGTGTGTGCAAGTGTGTTATGGGCTGTCTATCACAGCCACTCCTCAAAACATTAATAAAAGGCATATGTGGCAAGTATGATGGGATGTTTTACAACCAAATTTCAAATTTATTATGTATCCTCATACAGGTGTTTCTTTACATAGCACCACTAATAACACCCTCTAAATATAAACCACAGTTAATATTCTACTACAGATATGAGTGAGTATAATTTAAATGGCATGGGAATCTGTACATACAATACCAGCTACACAGTCTCTCTTACTCAATTTAATGTTTACTCTTTGGTATATATAAGCAATACCATTATACTTTCTAATAACATCTGGAACTTCTCTGAGAGGCTTCTGTTACTTAATCACACACACAGCATAATTAGACATCCATTTAGTCATACAAAATATGTCTGGTGCAGCAAACACAATCTTCGTTATGAACAGAACAAAGGTTAAAGAGAAATACCTGGGAGGATATAGGTATGATCTTATAAATACAGTGAATTTACTGTTAACCAGATGCCCTCGTCTTTACACCAAACAATTTGGCTGATTTGGAGAGATGTCCAAATATCATTAAAGAGTTTAATTGATAAGTGAAGAAATCTTTAGCTTGACTTTATTATTAATTTTGATAGAATGCAGATAACTGAGATTCAATGATGCCATATTAGACAGATTTCAGTGCATAACAGAGATAATTAGGAATTCTATAAAAACACTAGTAACAGTTAACAATATACATCATTATAATTTTTATGTGAATCTTTGAATGGTATTAACAATGCAGTAGGCTAGAGGGCAATAAATAGTTTCACTTTTTAAAGATGGGGTGGGCTTATTACAGGACATTGAAATAGCATACTGTGAAATCTTTAATTTCCTTTGGATTTTTATTTTTGTTAATTTTGTATGTATTCTTTATCCATGAATTCACATGTCCACAATCTGTTACAATTAGTATACTGTCGAAACAGACTCCTCTGACCCTCCTGATGTATGAGATGTCTTGGTATATAGCAGAAAGTAAATGGGTTTGGGTGTTTTGTTTGCCATGTTTTCAGTGTAAAAAGCATAAAAAATATTGCCAGGATATCAAAGCAGAGTGAACATCATCTCCTCTCAGATGTAAACAAGGTTCCGCCCACTATCAATAAAACCTCATTGACTTATCATTGAGTCTCCTTGAATGTCCCAGCAGAGTTCAATGACACTTCAATGCTATCCATTCATTATCTGGTAACTAAGTGTTTTTGTACCATTTTGTACCAAATCACTTAAACTTGTATCAATGTCACTATCAACGAAATCCAAAAATTAAAAAAAAAAAAAATATATAGGTTTATGATATAGAACCAAGAAATATCAGGGACAACCTACAGCATAACATTAATACAAAACTACATTCTTTCCAATCTGTGAAGTATACTGTAAATCCTATAAGGCAGATGGAAGGTTAATTGGCCTATAATTGTCGACTCTCTATTAATGCTGAAAAAATATCAGTAAAAACTAAAATTTTTCAGCAGACTTTCAAAACTGTCATTAGTCCACAAGAAAAAGCAGCTTAAACATCTTAAAATCTTAATTTGTTCAAAAAGGTACATTCTGTATGTTTATGGATTTTTATGTTTTTGTTGTTTTTTTTTTTAGGCGAAAGATTATGGACAAGCATAATCTTTTTCTTAAAAATTTTAAAAAGTTAGTAAGTATATTGCATATGTTGGCCAGGATGATGATTGATTGGTAGATCATCTACAGAACTGTTTTCAGCTAACCTAAGTAAACTACCTACAACACATAACAACAATGACAACACAGCTGCCAAGCTTTGACGTCACAAATTGAGTATCGGGTGGCTTTCAACAACAGTTTGCCACTGGCAATTGTTAAATACACGTCATAAAAGGTCAAAGTTGACCATGGCCATTTTCTAACTTAACACGAACAATTCAATAGTTAAAGATATGTCGTATTAATTTACACACAAAATTTTCCTTACAAAAGAAATGGATATTTATAACTTTCTCTTGGATCTTTACAATTCAAAAAAGAAAATATGATTGTATGTAACTCAGTTGAGTTCTCCCACACATTTTTCACATAAGATATACTTTTACAGGATCTTTCATACAAACTGTTGTAATCAAAACTCACTGAGGAGTTCTGGAATTTTTAGAATGTTTTACTTGTCGAGGTCTTTCAATCGCTTTTTTGACTGTCTTCAATTAAGTTTCAAAGTCAATGTACCATGAAAGTAATCTAGCTATGTTGTCAGATAAACAAATTACTTATTTGATATGTATCATGACCAATTTTATAATTTCTTTTTAAGGATTCTATATTTGTGATAATATTTCTCTGTCATCACTGATCGCAAGCATTCGTAGAAATTTTCTGTTTGTGCAAAATCTTGTATCTACATCATAATGGATGTCATATCATATTTGTACATCAATGTGTTTAGCTTATTAATGCTTTACTTCCTATTAACAGCCAGGGTAAGGACGTAGCAGATTTGGGTGGTGGGAAAAAGCCAGAGTTTCTGGAGAAAGGATGAAAATCACCAGCCTGTGGCAGGTACCTGATGACTGCCCCACATAGGTCTCGAACCCACAACCCAGAGGTGAAGGGCTAGTGATAAAGTCGGTCAGATCCCTAACCACTTGACAACAGCAACCCCTCTATATGTATGAGAAGCTTGAAAGCATTATCCCAATAACAACCGGTGTCACTGTTATCTTCAGGTTAACCTAAAGTAATGTGTCACTTTATCTAAGAAAAATTTAATCCCTAAAACAATCCCATAGGTTGACTCGACAATGTGCCCTCAGACGACCCTCCCTGATAACATCCTGAGCAGTTTCCTACCAGCATTGCATCATTGTATATATACATGACCATCCTTAATGTCACAAGCAATTTAGTAACAACACAGAATTGTGAAATATATCTAGTGCTAGGTAATTAACATGTAGAGACATATAGATTAAACTGAGTTTAAATGTAGTGTTTGGTTATGTGATAAATCAAAACGTTCCTGCAGTATATTTAGAAATCCTAGAACCTAGATAGACACAAAAAATGTGACACCAGCAGGTTGCTTATCCAATACAATACCTCTACAAAAACTGCCCATATTTACATCAGCTATTCAACTGTTAAGTCCTTGGACTACTTCATGTCGGTACATTAGCCGCCTTTACAAGTGAACACAATGCCTTGAATGGCAACAACATTGTGTAAGTCAGCCTTGATTTGAAAAATACCTTTGATTTTCGACTTGCTCGTCGTTCTCGCTTGAATTTTTCATCTTTTTCAGTACATTTCTGATCTTCTGTGGTCCCTAGGGCTTCCTCGTTGACTGGAAGCATGGTAATGTTGGTCTGTTACACACTGCTACGGTTCACAAGGATTGAATCATGAACAACACAACTGAACCGTAGCCAACAGGCTTCTTGTGTGACTAATATCCCAGTAAACCTTAAGTTCATGCACACAACACTGATCAATATATCGCAGTTAGAGTTTTTTTCCCCATAACAGCTCTGTCTGTCTGTCTTATATTCTCGTTCTGATTAGTGGAACTCCTTCCTTTTACCTGTGTAGCCAGGTATAGCCAGGTAAATATTGATGATTGTATTTACCTACACGGGCCATTCATGCCCAAGATCTTCCTATAAAAGGGGCCCCCGTATTCATTCATACTTGTATTGTTATACATAACACCACCCTTTCTACAACTGAGCTATGTGAAGAATGAGACTTGTAAAACCCAAACAATAGATCAATGTGAAAATGCTAGTTTCATGTTAAAAGTCAGTTAAACCTACAAGTGATCAGACAAGCTGCTTACCAATATATCCTATACAAGCCTAGAGCATTAAAAGAATTGGCTATTACACAAAATATACCTTTATCTTATGACATAATACAACAAACCTTGGCATTAAATCTGTCTCTCCTTAGACTGGCAATCAACATTTTATAATCTAAGAATATTATAAGGTCTTAAATTGACATCAGAAATATTTCGTATACAGAAACTGGTAGAGTGCGACAGAAATTACCATAGTATGTTTTAACCTGTAAATAATGCTGTCCCTTAGTTTATTTATCACACAGTATCATTTATGCTACACTGTGAATGTTCAGATTTCAATGACGAAGTGAGTTTCTTAGAATTGAACATATATATATTCAATTTAGATCAAAATCCAGACTTCTTCAAAAAACAAATAGCTAACATATTTATTACTATGTTTACCTCACAATCCATACAAAATTAAAATGGAACATTAATTCAAACCAAAATGGAATTCAAAAACATGACATTGTAAGTCATTATCTAAGAAATTTATTACTCAGCAACACAATTTCATACTTTAAGTTTCCTTTTATGGAAAGATACTAAATATCAACGCATCAAATTCTAGCCCCAAAGAAATTAAATAAGACTGAAGTCATTTTTTCATGATATAAAAAGGAAGGAAAGAGCAAGATCACAATTTTTACATGAAAAATTCAAAAACGTTCATATCAATTTTAATCAAATTTCATTTAATTAAAACAAATCAAGTAGAAAAAGGCAAACATGTTTTAATGATTGAATAATGAGAGGAATTTTATCAACTGAATGCTATATTTCGAGATGGCCTTTGAGTTTACAAGGATGATGAAGAGCAATTTTTCTTCAAAAGAATTTGGCCAAACAGTAATGAGGGGTATGTAGAAATATACAGCACTACTCAGTAATAATTTTTCAAACCCTATGTTCTTCCTTAGATAACATTGAAAATCAACTACTTGGAACAAAAGAGCTTGTGAATCTCCTTCATTGGGCCCCATTCTAATACACAACACTTGTATGTAACTTGGCAGGACTCCAAGTATGCTGAGCCAAGCCTACCACAATGAGCCAATCAGAGCGGAGGATTTCGTC